TATAGTTAGAGTGGCTCAGGTTATCCTGAGCTATCTCTATAGTTATGCTGCTATAGGCTTAGACTGCTGGAGGACATAGGTTTAAAAAATTTGTTTTAGTGTTATTTGGTGTTATTTACACTATTTCGCCAAGTGCCTGGCACACTGTCACATGTTCAACCAGTTTTAGATAATTAGTTCACATTGCAATCAGCCTAAGCACTATAAATAAGCCAGAGGTGAACTGTCTGTGTGGAGTACAGTGGAGAGAGCAAGAAGAGTGAGAATTAGAGGAGACAGAGGAAGAGGAGGTGTATGTGAAGATGTAGGAGGAAGAGGAGACCAGATACGTCATCATATGGGAAAATGTTAGTTTCCATAGGGCTGCTTTGGTCCGCAACCAGATCACCAACTCTTCACTGCACTCAACCTCCCCCCATACTCTCCGTTCTTGAATCTGACTGAAGAATTCTTCTTTCCCTGGCACTGGAAGGTCTATGACCGTCATTCCTATCAACTCACAGCTCTTTTACAAGCACTGGAGGAGGCATGTGGGGATATGGACCAGACATCATGTCAGGCCTGGATGTGACATTCCAGGAGTTATAGATGACATAGCATGTGATGTGGAGGAAGTATTGTGGCAGGAGACAACACAATGTCAGCTGATTTTTCTTATCAGTGATTTTGTGTTTCGACTTGGAAAAAAAACAACACTTTTGTTAGTTTTGATTTGTGTAAAGAAACACCAATACTTTAAGTTCTATTCAGTTCAATTAGCATGTTTTCTAAGCCAAAACAAGGCCTTAACTCAATGCTAATTCTGACCTTTGAATTGAAACAAGCTTCCTTTTTAGAAATGCCTACAATTGTTGATTTTACATTTTTTTAATAGGCTACGTATGCCTTTGAATGTATTGGTTTTAATGATTGTCTTTTTACTCTGTTTTTAATGTTATGATCTTTTAAACTTGTTTTAGTTTTCCCTTTTTTTTTTAAATGTAGCACTTTGTAGCACTTTGAGATTTAAAGTCAAATGTAAAGTGTGTTACAAATAAAATTAATTATTATTATTACTATGGGAAGCGAAATGTCTTCAAACTTGGAAGCAAAGTCCAGTAGATTGTTTTAAATTGTTTGAAATAACGGAAGTTGTGATCCCTGTATGTTTACAGAACTATGACTAAAGCACGACCTGAAACTGACATAGCCTACCTGGTGCACAGAGAAAGCAAAAAGGCAGATGTGATTTTTATTTATACAATCACTGTCCAGTAGCCACATTCTGTATTTATTAATATAACAGCTTTCGTTAATGTTTTGGTACAAAACAAAGGTTTGAAGAGATTTATTAGCATGTGTAAGGTTTTCCTATTTGTGTGTAGAGTTTTGCAAAAATACCTAATAGTTACAAAAAATGTGCTTAAGCCATCACAAAAAAAAAAAAAAAATTAAAAAAATCTGTAACTCACTAGAGCTAACACTGGAGACAAGAAAGCCTGTCTGAGATTTTGGGAAGGATATTTGGAGCATGAAAAAATAAAAAACCAAACAAAACTGTTAAAATAAAAATAAAGCTTGAAACCTGGGAGAAGTTTTACATTTGGGCAAGGGGAAAACAAATAAAAAAGAGAAAAAGAAAGAAAAATATAAAATTTGTTAATAAATATTTCATGGTAAAGCTAGGAAAATAGAATAAACAAGTTATTACACATATATTAATTTGAACAAAAATACAATCTCAGAAATCACAAAAATTACTCCCAAAACCTTTTTTTGATTAAAGCGTTTTTCAACATTTCTGTTTTACAAAACGTGTTCTTTGGAAAAATAATGGAACAAAATTCCCTCCATAGCCCAGACTCAGCCCTGACGCGCGCGTGCGTGCGTAGGCGCGCGCTGAGGTGTGGACGTAAATGCGCCACCTACTGACGTCTGATGGCAAACGGTTGGACGGGTGGGGAAACAAGCCCGGTGTTTGTATCCCTACTGCCCAGTGAAGAAAGGAAGCACCGATGCCCCCAGAGCGCCTCCCTGCTGTCGGCCTGGACCTGAGAGAATGAAAGGATGGCGGAGCGGCGCTCCGGCGGAGAACACCGAGCGCTGACGGAGGCTGCGGCTCACCGGGGGGAACAGAATGACGCTATGAATTCTGCCGAGGATCTGTCTCTGGAGGAGATACTGAGGCTCTACAGCCAGCCGGTGAATGAGGAGCAGGCATGGGCGGTGTGCTATCAGTGCTGCCGGAGCCTGGAGAAGGCGCACCGGGGCGAAGGCGGCTCCGCTGCCGCATCACCGCGGAGGATCTGCGGACCGGAGGATGTTAGGATACAGAGAGACGGATCGGTGAAGGTGGATCAGCGCAGCAGCCAAGGTAAAATAGCTGAGCAGCTGGGATCTATTTAAAATGCAGACTAGGCTCAGCTGCTCTGGCTGCTATCAGCATAATAAAACCCAAATAAAGCCAGAAGCACTCATGGTGTTTACTAATGTAGGTTTATTTATTGCTTATATGAGGAGCAGGTTGGACATGAGGGGGAAGGCTGCAGGCAGGCCTACATGAAAAGCCTAAGTTTGTCTCAAATAAATCCCATTTCAACATATTTTTTCTTTCTTTTTTTTTAACACTTTCCTGTTTAGGTTCAATCTGATTTGAGGATAAATCAGACCCCATGGGTTAATGTTCCTCTGCTCCATCTGATATGTGACACACACACAAAGGAATGCCACCTCAGTCATCCTGGGGCTTTCACTGATTTCCCTCAGACTCCTCCATCCATCCTCCATCCATCCTCTATCTTCCATCTTTTCCACGTGTTTGCCCAAGTTC